CGCTCTTCCAATTCACATTTCTACTATCACCATAATCATCAGCTCTTCTTGTACAGCAGCTGGTAATTAGTCTGGCTGGAGTACGGTATGTTATTAGGGAGTTGTGGATCTGTTGGGCAGAAACAGGAAAGATACCTGTGGATTTACAGTTCCAGGCAGGAGAGTCTGTTCTTTAATATTCAGTGGGGAAATCTTTGAAGGTTTGAGCAGAGCATTGTAGTGACTGCATTTGTGCTTCATTAATTGTAATCTGGCAGCTTGGAGTAGTGCGAACTCATTTTCAATTGCCAGAGCAGATAAGAATGGAGAGACTGTCACAGTTGTCCAGTTAAGATGTAGTGAAACCATAGAACTAGCAAGGTCAAGGGACTCAGGCAGAGAGTTCTTAGGTTTGACACCAAAAGATGATCAGTAAAAGGACAAATTGATAAATTGGACTTTATCAAAAGTAGAAATTTGCTCTGTGAAAAATCCTATTAAGAGGATTAAAAGACAAACTACAAAATGCGAGAAAATATTTGCAAATCATCTATCTGATAAAGGACTGTATCCACAATATGTGAAGAACTCTCAAAACTCAATAGTAAACCAAACAAAACAAAACCAATCCATTTTGAAAACGGGTAAATGATATAAACAGGCATTCACTGAAGAGGGTATTCAGATGGTAAGTAAACACATGAAAAGATGGTCAGCATCATTAGCCATTAGGGAAGTGCAAATTAAACCCACAGTGAGATATCACTACACAACTTTAAGAATGTCTGAAGGAAAAAATAGTGACAGCACAACACCATACATTGTTGAGTATGTAGAGAGACTGGATTATTGGCCCATTGCTCATATGAATGTTTAATATCACAGTCACTATGGAAAAGAATTTAGTAGTTTCCTATAAAGCTATGTGTGTAATTACCATCCTTCCAAAAGTTCAGGAAAATGACATTTACATTAAAATGAGCAACAGAAGAGTATTGAGGTCAAATCCTATACAGAATGACTCGAAGAAAAAAGGTGGTCAAGAACATAATAACATCCCTACCAACAATGAAAGCATAGTATAAAGATATGTTCCAAAAATATGTCTGTAAGATTAATTTGCAAGACAAGAGACATTAAGAAAATTATATAGGACATGAAATAATAAACATAAATCAGAATTAGAAAAACTCAGAAGTGAAATGAAAGAATTCAAGAAATAAACAGAAATAAAATAATTAAAAATAAAATAATTTTATTTTTTTAATTTAATTTTATTTTTTTATACAGCAGGTTCTTATTAGCTATTTTACTAGTGTGTATATGTCAATCCCAATCTCCCAATTCATCCCCCCCCCCACCGCCCCCCACTTTCCCCCTTGGTGTCCATACATTTGTTCTCTACATCTGTGTCTCTATTTCTGCCTTACAGACCGGTTCATCTGTACCATTTTCCTAGATTCTACATATATGTGTTAACATACGATAATTGTTTTTGTCTTTCTGACTTACTTCACTCTGTATGACCGTCTGGGTCCATCCACGTCTCTACAGATGACTCAATTTCGTTTCTTTTTATGGCTGAGTAATATTCCATTGTGTATATGTACCACATCTTCTTTATCCATTCGTCTGTCGATGGGCATTTAGGTTGCTTCCATGACCTGGCTGTTGTAAATAGTGCTTCAGTGAACATTGGGGGACATGTGTCTTTTTGAATTATGGTTTTCTCTGGGTATATGCCCAGTAGTGGGATTGCTGGGTCACATGGTAGTTTTATTTTTAGTTTCTAAGGAACCTCCATACTGTTCTCCATAGTGGCTGTATCAATTTGCATTCCCACCAACAGTGCAAGAGGGCTCCCTTTTCTCCACACCCTCTCCAGCATTTGTTGTTTGTAGGTTTTCTGATGATGCCCATTCTGACTGGTGTGAGGTGATACCTCATTGTAGTTTTGATTTGCATTTCTCTAATAATTAGTGGTGTTGAGCAGCTTTTCATGTGCCTCTTGGCCATGTGTATGTCTTCTTTGGAGAAATGTCTGTTTAGGTCTTCTGACCATTTATTGATTGGGTTGTTTTTTTAATATTGAGCTGCATGAGCTGTTTATATATTTTGGAGATTAATCCTTTGTTGATTCGTTTGCCAATATTTTCTCCCATTCTGAGGGTTGTCATTTCATCTTGTTTATAGTTTCCTTTGCAGTGCAAAAGCTTTTAAGTTTTATTAGGTCCCATTTATTTATTTTTGCTTTTATTTCCATTACTCTAAGAGGTGGGTCAAAAAAGATCTTGCTGTGATTTATGTCAAAGAGTGTTCCTCCTATGTTTTCCTCTAAGAGTTTTATAGTGTCCAATCTTACATTTAGGTCTTTAATCCATTTTGAGTTTATTTTTGTGTATGGTGTTAGGGAGTGTTCTAATTTTATTCTTTCACATGTAGCTGTCCAGTTTTCCGAGCACCACTTATTGAAGAGACTGTCTTTTCTCCATTGTATATCCTTGCCTCCTTTGTCATAGATTACTTAACCATAGGTGTGTGGGTTTTATCTCTGGGCTTTCTATCCTGTTCCATTGATCTATATGTCTGTTGTTATGCCAGTGCCATGTTGTTTTGATTACTGTAGCTTTGTAGTATAGTCTGAAGTCAGGGAGTCTGATTTCTCCAGCTCCAGTATTTTCCCTCAAGATTGCTTTGGCTATTTGGAGTCTTTTGTCTCTCCATACAAATTTTAAGATTTTTTGTTCTAGTTCTATAAAAAATGCCATTGGTGATTTGATAGGGATTACATTGAATCTGTAGATTGCTTTGGGTAGTACAGTTGTTTTCAAAGTATTGAGTCTTCCAATCCAAGAACGTGGTATATCTCTCCATCTGTGTCATCTTTGATTTCTTTCATCAGTGTCTTAGAGTTTTCTGAGTACAGGTCTTTTACCTCCTTAAGTAGGTTTATTCCTAGGTATTTTATTCTTTTTGTGGCAATGGGGAATGGGATTGTTTCCTTAATTTCTCTTTCTGATCTTTCGTTGTTAGTGTATAGGAATGCAAGAGAATTTCTGTTCATTAATCTTGTATCCTGTAACTTTACCAAATTCATTGAGTAGCTCTAGTAGTTTTCTGGTGGCATCTTTAGGATTATCTGTGTATAGTATCATGTCATCTGCAAACAGTGACATGCTACTAGCCATGCCATGGCTAGGACTTCCAAAACTATGTTGAATAAGAGTGGCGAGAGTGGACATCCTTGACTTGTTCCTGACCTTAGAGGAAATGCTTTCAGTTTTTCACCATTGAGAATGATGTTTGCTGTGGGTTTGTCATATATGGCCTTTATTATGTTGAGGTAGTTTCCCTCTATGCCCACTTTCTGGAGAGTTTTTATCATAAATGGGTGTTGAAACTTGTCAAAAGCTTTTTCTGCATCTATTGAGATGATCATATGGTTTTTCTTCTTCAGTTTGTAAATATGGTGTATCACATTGATTGATCTATGTATACTGAAGAACCCTTGCACCCCTGGAATAAACGCCACTTGATCATGGTGTATGATCCTTTTAATGTGTTGTTGGATTCTGTTTGCTAGTATTTTGTTGAGGATTTTTGCATGTAAATTCATCAGTGATATTGGTCAGTAATATTCTTTTTTTAAATAGTATCTTTGTCTGGTTTTGGTATCAGGGTGATGGTGGCCTCTTAGAATGAGTTTGGGAGTGTTCCTTCCTTGGAAGAGTTTGAGAAGGGTGGGTGTTAGCTCTTCTCTAAACGTTTGATAGAATTCACCTGTGAAGCCATCTGGTCCTGAGCTTTCGTTTGTTGGAAGATTTTTAATCACAATTTCAATTTGATTACTTGTGATTGTTCTATTCATATTTTCTGTTTCTTCCTGGTTCAGTCTTGGACGGTTACCATCGATTTCCACTTTTATAGCTGTTAGCATTTGCCTTATGTATCGAGGTGCTCCTAAGTTGGTTGCATATATATTTAAATTGTTATATCTTCATGGATTGATCCCTTGATCATTATGTAGTGTCCTTCCTTGTCTCTTGTAATAGTCTTTATTTTAAAGTCTATTTTGTCTGATATGAGTATTGCTACTCCAGCTTTCTTTTGATTTCCATTTGCGTGGAATATCTTTTTCCATCCCCTCACTTTCAGTCTGTATGTGTCCCTAGGTCTGAAGTGGGTCTCTTGTAGACAGCGTATGTACGGGTCTTGTTTTTGTATCCGTTCAGCCAGTCTGTGTCTTTTGGATGGGGCACTTAATCCATTTACAGTTAAGGTAATTATCGATATGTATGTTCCTATTACCATTTTCTTAATTGTTTTGGGTTTATTTTTGTAGGTCTTTTCCTTGTGTTTCCTGCCTAGAGAAGTTCCTTTAGCATTTGTTGTAAAGCTGGTTTGGTGGTGCTGAATTCTCTTAGCTTTTGCTTGTCTGTAAAGCTTTTGATTTCTCAGTGCAATCTGAATGAGATCCTTGCTGGGTAGAGTAATCTTGGTTGTAGGTTCTTCCCTTTCATCACTTTAAATATATGGTGCCACTCCCTTTCTGGCTTGTAGAGTTTCTGCTGAGGAGTCAGCTGTTAACCTTATGGGAGTTCCCTTGTATGTTATTTGTCATTTTTCCTTTGTTGCTTTTAATAATTTTTCTTTGTCTTTCATTTTTGTCAATTTGATTACTATGTGTCTCGGCATGTTTCTCCTTGGGTTCATCCTGCCCGGGACTCTCTGTGCTTCCTGGACTTGGGTGGCTATTTCCTTTCCCATGTTAGGGAAGTTTCTGACTATAATTTCTCGGGTCCTTTCCCATGTTAGGGAAGTTTCTG